CACTTGTGCCGTTTTGTCTTTTCTAAAATGGCACAGGTACTTTAATGTGTGGTCCTGAAGATCTTAACTGATAGAGGATGTGTTCAGTTCTGTACTTCTATCATCTTTCCTCCTGCCTGTGAGTTTGGAAAAGAGAAAGAATTTGGTCACACTGGGAAGAATATTCCTGGTTGATTCATTTTGCAGATCATACAATTAAGTCAGAGAAGCAAAATCAGGTTACTCGTTGATTAAAATATGACCATCCTTTATCTGGAAAGATTATTTGTCCTGTTTGAGTTTATACCTTTAGGTTCAGAATGATATACATCGAGCAGGAGAAGACACCAACTCAGCCAGTCAGTTCTACTAAATTAGCCCCAGCCATTAGGGAAATGATAAATATGGCAACTAGATTACCCGCACATCACCACCCCAGTGTATTTTAAATGAATGCAAAAATTAAGTTATAGAACCCTGTTAGCAGTGAGTAGGGAACCCAAGGTGGAGAAGGACTGGAGTATTTTGATAGAAAGTGAAAAGAAGTTAGAGAAAAAAATTCCCAGTGAAAATAGTCAAGAGAGGCCAGGTGCGGTGGCTCATGCCTGTAATCCTAACACTCTGGGAGGCTGAAGCGGGAGGATTCCTTGAGCTCAGGAGTTCGAGACCAGCCTGAGCAAGAGCGAGACCCCGTCTCTACTAAAAATGGAAAAATTTAGCGGGGCATGGTGGGGAGCGCCTATAATCCCAGCTACTTGGGAGACTGAGGCAGGAGGATCACTTAAGCCCAGGAATTTGAGGTTGCTGTGAGCTGGGCTGACACCATGGCACTCTAGCCCAGGCAACAGAGCAAGACTGTGTCTCGAAAAAAAAAAAAAGAAAATAGTTGAGAGAATTCTATAAGCCCTTAAATTTTTCTCTAGGCTAAGGATGTTTTTAACAGAAGATTGGCATAGGCTTTGTTTGGTTATTCTAATAGTACTATTCTGAGATGTGTCTTTATTCCTCATAAATGTGTTTTATACGAGCGGTTTGGCAGATCTGTGTTCTTTTCTTCTTTATAGTCCTGAGGCTTTCTACCAACGCAGGCCAGTGGAAGGAAGCAGCTAGCAAGGTGACCCATGCATTGGTTAATATCAGGTAAGGAATGAGAATTTCTTTCTTTCAGAGTTCCTTGGCTCTTCCCAATGTTTATCATACCTTTCTAAGTCGAGTGCATTGAACACCACTATTTTAAGCTCTGATATCTGTAGAAGTAGAAGAAATTGTTGTGCTTGATCAAGAAAAGCAGGCATACATGAGACTTTTGTCATAGTGAACTGGCTGTTTTATGAATTTTCTACCAAGAGATGGTTGCAAGCCCTTCTCAGACATCTTAGCTGCCAAAGTGTTTTCTGTGTATAGGCTTTTTTCTAAAAGATTTTTTCTGCTGTTCTCTGTGACTTCAGTGAATGACTCATGGGGATCTAGAACTTTGACATTTTACTTTATGTGGCTATTTCTATTTGTGGCGAACAGAGGCAACTGGAGTCCATGGTGCTAAGTCATTTTAGGTTCTTTATGAAACAGCAAGGCAATTACAGAGTGCCATATGTATTGGATGAAGTTTTATCAGACATGGAGTTGGTTCAGGTCTTGAGGAGGCACCACTCACCCACAGGAATGAGCTGTTAGTAAGTGCAGAAGGGAAAGTGCTTTCAGTATTGTGAAACCTAAATCTGACTTTTCTTCCAGTTCTTGTTCCCTTTGTGCCTATGATTTTTCATTTTCTCAGCAGTTATTAAATTGTTCTTGGAAAACAATTGAAAAATTAACATTGAGTAAAAGAGGCAAGCCCAACAGATGGGGAACTTGATTTAGCTCCAGATGTAAGCCTTGCCAGAGATTCCCAGTAATAGTTATGCACATTTACAACTCGGTGTAGATTCTAATGTATGACAGAGCTGTTTGTTTCTGTATCTTTCTTTTCATTCTTGGTATTTAAAGGTAAAATGTCCTGTCCCTGCAGTGATTTACTACAGTGTTTGGCATATCTGGGAATAAAAGGAAAAGTGTGAAATATGTGTGTTAGGAGGGCTGGGATGAGGGAGCATGGGGTGAGATGTGCTAACAAGATTGCAATGAAAGTTGATCTGCCTTACCTGTCTCCAGAGACACTTTGTAGCAAACACAATTTTATAAATTTCACAAATAAATGCATATCTACACCTAGCAAATAATACAGATACTGTGATGAAGCCTTATGATAAATGTGATTTTCTGTGAGAATCAAGAATTACAAACTGCCTTCTCCCAAATATCCCTTTGCGACCCAAGGGCAGTATGACAAATGTGGGTGTTTGAATGAAGCACCAGGTTCTAGGCTAGAGTATGAAGTGCATATGGGTATAATTTATGTTGTGTTTATTTATTCATGTATTTACGTAGGCTTTCCAGGCAGCTTCTTTTCATCTGGGGCCTGTTTCCTTGATCACATTCCTTAATGCTTGCTTTATCTCCTACTTTGTTGCTTTTCCTTTCAGTGGTTTCTGGCTTGGCTGCTGTCCTTATTCTTCCCAAGGGCCATCAAGCAGCTGATTTAAGCTTTTGGCCTCTCCTTTTTCTAAACAGCCAAGAAAGAAATGGACTGATGCTTGAACAGATGCCTGTAACCATGTAACCTCTTCCTTCTCTTTGTATGACTCTGTCAGGCTCATACTTCCATTTTCATTCCTCAAACTTCTCTGATGAACTTGCTACAGAGAATAATCACATCATTTTCACTGTTGCTAATGAATTAGATTCAGAGTATATGCTTAAAGTAACAAAGACCCAGTCAGTTTTCTCAAGAGCTTCCTGGAAAGATGTATTTGAATGTCACTTAACCACAGTAAGGCCAGATCAGGGAAAAATACTTGTTATAGTAAGCCTGCAAAAGTTTACCTTTTTTCTTTTCTGACATCTGTTTTCACTTACTTAATGCTAGACTTTGTGTTGCTCTTTTACATACTATTTTCTTTAAACTTTAAACTCTATAGAGTATATTATATACTTTTAAAAATATTCTTTTGTCCAATGAGTCAACTGAGTCTTAAAGATGTTGTGAATTGTGCAAGGTCCCACAATTGCTCCTTGGCAAAACTGAGAAGTAATCATAGGTCTGCTAAACTCCACGTTCAGGGCTTTTCCTTCAAAGCCATAATGCCTCCTTCTATAGAATTGCATCAAAGACCACCTTGGAGGTAAACAGAAAACTCAGCATGATGTGTTGAAAGGAGCATGGATATTTGAATTAGAAAAACTGCATTTTTAATTTTTGTTTCTACCTTTTATTATGTGACTTTGACCAAGTTACTTAGCTTCTCTGGGCTTCTTTCCACCATCTATAAAATGGGGGTGATGGTGATATCAGCTATTTCACAGGATAGTGGTTGTGAGAATTATATAATGTAATGTAGATAAAAGCCCCTAGTAACCTATAAAATACTGGTTATTTCACTTAGCATAGGTCTTCAAGGTTTGCCCATGTCGTAGCATGTGTCAGAATTTCCTTCCTTTTTAGGCTGAATAGTATTCCTTCGCATGTGTATACCATCTTTTATTTATCCATTCATCCGCTGATGGACACTTGACTTGCTTTCACCTTTTGGTTATTGTAAATAATGCTGCTGTGAACATGGGTATATAAATATCTGTTTCAGACCCTGCTTTTATTTCTTTGGGGAATATACCCAGAAGAGGAGACACTATTAACTTTGAATGGTTTAGAAAACAAAAACCTGTGTCAGAAAATCTGACCTGTGGGTTCCCCAGCAATACTGTGGGATATTTAACTATTGGCCACCACATTGATTATCAAGGACAGAGTATGTGCTGATCCCACATCTGGAAAGGATTTCTAAGGCAGAGTGAACAAACCACCTCTTAGTCACCTCTCCTGTAGTATGTTCTTTGATTGCCATAGAAAGGGCTTGGGTTGCATGTGAAGTTTTCAGACCCCTAACAGTTGGGAGACCTCGTAGACTGGTTTGCCAGTTGATGATGGCGAATTATGTCTTTGAGAATTATGTCCTGGAATGCAGTGCATCTAAAGACTACCCTAACATAGTGTCTCCCTAGCAGATGAAAGGCAGCAGAAAGGCTACAGACCTTTCTGTTCTAAGCATACTTTATTTAGATTGTGACAATGAAAATTAAAAGTACTTCCACATTCTTGGAGGCCTAAATTTGCTCAAGTGTCAGTCTTTTTGCTTTTCACTTGTCTTTCGTGGCTTAGTCATGCTAGTTCTTTAATTGTCAAAGTTCTCTGTGTTTAAACAATTTGTCTCTCTCTTCCTGTTTAATCCTTTAGTGAGATTCTTAAAATGCAGCTGCTTAGAAGCTGCTATTTTTATTGGAACACTTGATATCTCCAACAAACAGGGCCCTATGTTATTTCTTCCCCATACGAGAGTTGTTCCATTGCTTTGCCATAAGAAAAATAAAATATATTGCTTCACCTTTAAGATTCTACTTGTTGCTTCAGCTGCCTCCATAGATCTAATAGTCCACAAAGGAAGAATACTTTGAGGGGACACATGCAGGGCAGGAAGGTAAGAATTTGGGAATTCTTGCTTAGAGACTTCTATGCTAAATGTTTCCTGCCACCACTCAGCGGTGATCCCAGTTTGTGAAGTATTGTACTTTAAGAAGATGTCTGCTGACTGTTAACCTAATTTGTCAGAAGAGAGAAAGAAAAATGTTAAACTAAAATCTGACCTTCATCTAACCAAACAACTTTCAAGGTAAATAATTTGAGGCCCTTAATGAATCTCTTCAAGTTAACATCTTAATGCTTTTCACTTAATGAACATTTCATTAGCACCAAGTTCAAAATCCTGTTCTCTGATTGCACACAGAAATAGTGGCTGAATCACTGCAAATAACTGTTTCTCCTGTTCTGTAATTTTCTTAAGGTAGATAATTTTTTTTTTTTTTTTTTTTGAGACAGAGTCTCACTTTGTCACCCGGGTTAGAGTGCCTTGGCATCAGCCTAGCTCACAGCAACCTCAAACTCCTGGGCTCAAGGGATCCTCCTGCCTCAACCTCCCGAGTAGCTGGGACTACAGGCCCACACCACCATGCCTGGCTAAGTTTTTCTGTCTTCAGTAAAGAAGGAGTCTCACTGTTGCTCAGAGCTGGTCTCAAACTCCTGACCTCACGCAATCCCCTTACCTTGGCCTCAGTAGATGAAGTTTTAACTATGGTTAATGTAGAAATTTTTTTCTTTATTTGGAATGCATTAAGCTGCAGGTTAGCTTTTCTTCAAGAATGACTTTAATTAGCCAGGCATGGTGGTGCACACCTGTAGGCTCAGCTACTTGGGAGGCTGAGGCAGGATCGCTTGAGCTCAGGAGTTTGAGGTTGCAGTGAACTATGATGATGCCACTGCACTCTAGCCCAGGAAACAGCGCAAGACCCTGTCTCAAAGAAAAAAAAAAAAGAATGACTTTTTAGTTATTGCCACTGTTAGACACAAACCTGGGGTTTGGAATGAGAATTTAGTGCATTTCTTTGTAAGTCCCTTAATTAAATTCACCTAGTGAGTTTATTTCTTATCCTCTTGTTCACTCCAGGGTCTTTTTGTTCCTTTGTTGAGTTGGTTCCCTCACCCACCTTCCTACTTATGTGCTTACATAGCTGTTACACTCCTCCCTCCAAAAAAGGATGGGGGAGCTTTAAGTGTACACTGCTGGGGAGGCTAACGAACAAAAATAGCTCTCAGCAGCCTCTAGATAAGGAGATTCATTGAGCATAACACCCTTTGGAATAGGCTGTGTATAGAAGTCTGAATGTCAGAAAATAAGCCTTCAGACAGTAATCACTATTAATGGCAGCAAAGTTATTGTTAGGATGGGAATGCAAGGTCTCAGCCAGCCAAAGTCTCCCCAGCTCCCCTTGCCCATCACCTGTTTGGGCTACAATATTTGCCTCATTGCCATAATTATCTTATCAAAATGGATACTGATGAATTGAGAGAAGCAGCATTTTGATGTCCAGGCACTTCAGCTGAAGGATGTAACATACTCTAGTGAAAAGTAAATATGGAGTAAAATAATTAATGATAGGAGCAGAGCCATTGGCTGATGACTCTATTTGAATGGTGGGGAGCACGTGAACAT